ATTCACATAAAATAAGATTTTTTTCAATATTTTTCCTATTGGAGTGAGTCTTGGAGGTCATCTTTATATCGGCAAATAAAGACGTCTTCATTTTCATATATAACATCAGAATTGAATTTATTGATTTTTTTTATTTTATTCATTTTATTCAAAAATTATACAGAGTACACTAATCGTTTTAATCTCTTCAAGTACTTTTAAATGACACATCAAATAATTTCTTCTTTTAAAAAAAATTATTAAAATTTCAAAATTTTTTGTTTATTTATCTCTACTAATATTTTAATTGCAGTACAGTCCTTAATATCTCTATGGACCCATGTCTTGTCAGTACGGTGCTTGTTTTTTCCAAACATAAGCTTTCTGTAATCATAAAAAAATTTAATTTTAATCAACTCTTATAAATTATTAATTTCCGAGGACATGATCAATACAATGTGATGGTTGAGAGGCTTTATTTATGAGCTACCTTTATTTAAGTGTGACTTTTAATTAGTACTGTTTAATTAGTACTTCTAGAAAATTAAAAATTACTTCAGGTAACTTAATTGTAATAATTAGATATATAACAACATTAATGTCATTCAAGAGATATACGTTGTAATAAATTTTTTTCATTTTAATTTTACTTAATTTCAGTAATTATTAGTAGTTTTTTATATATTTTTTGTTATTAATTTTCAATATTCAATTAAATAAGATTATTTTATATTAATTGCCCTGATGATTTCCTGTTGAATGAGTTGGAAGTATTAGTGCATTTTTCTCTTATGGAGTTTTATTGACTGCATCATTTGTGCACCGGCAATAGAATAATTCTCATAAAAACCTTTTCGCCAGTACGCAAATTAAGCGAAAAATTACCTCAATTTACTTCGACTTTTATGTCATTTCATATCGAATTAACTAATTCATGGAAACTTAATGTGCTCAGTTAAACTTTGCCGTGCAACTTCTAACTGCAGCGTCTATGGCAACTGGTTCGGTTGCAAACAGTTGCAGACAGTTTCCCTGTCGATGGCACTGACTCAGCAGGCATGAAAATTTTGTTTCCAATGTCAAAACTTTTTGCATTTAATCTGTTCTCACTTAATGTGCTCTCGTGAAGATGTCTGAACGGAGGGGCCAAAGTCATATTTTGGAATTACTGCAGACTGAAAAAGTCATCTTTTGTTGTTGGTGCTGTTGTGGTTCATAAAGTTCCGTCACTCAGGAATCCAATTAAAGTTTTGCGAGTTGACTTGACAATAATATCGTTTTTTGCTTACAGCTAACGCTACGCTTGTACCGAGGAGGAGCCAATCCATATGCACACGAGTACTCATGTCCATTGCCATACTCTTCGGTTCAGTTCAGCTCGATTCAGTTCAGTTTAGTTGAAATTGTGCAGCTGCTTCTACATATGCACTGGTATGAGAAATTCTCCAAGTGTGTCTTTTGCACTAGTGGATGGAAGTAGTGAAAATGGTTTGGTTTGCGGTGCGCCTAATCTCAAATGCAACGGACCACTAAAGCGAAACATTGTTTTAGGTTTTGTCTGCAGCTTTAGTGAGCTTTAGTGAGCTGCTTTATAATTTATTAATTAAACGAGTAACCTCAAGCAAATGCACTGTACCCGTCACTACCAACGCAACAATAACATTTTATAGTTTTTTAAAATGTTGAATTTTGAATTTTTGTTGTATTTTAAAATTAATTTGTTTAACTTTTATACAAAACAAACTGTACACATTGGCACCTAAACGATCGTTTCGCTTCTGCTAACCATTTAGATAGATACATTCAACAAAAATGTGACACGCTTCCAAATCTTGTGATATATGCGCAAAATGTTACTTGATTGCAGTCTTTTAGCATTTCATCTTCAATTCGATTCCTCGTTTTTAAAAATGCGTCTTATGACTGCTCTAGTCATTCTGAGCCAGTCTTTGGCCGATGTTCATGGTTCTGTTATTCTTTCTTTGCTGTCTTTGCTGTCATCAAGCTTTTTTATGTGTCTTAACTGCACCGCATGCAATGGTTCCTTTCGCTATAGCAAGTCCCAAACTTATTTTGATGTTTTGTGTATTTTATGGCACGTTAAGATCTACACGTTTATTCAGCATTTTGTGTGAAGTTTTACTGCAAGTGGCTTTAAAGTGTGTGATGGGATTAGTTGGTACTACTATGCTATTATGAATGCTTTAAGCTGCAAGTATGAAACTTCCAACTACTTGATATTATGGTTTGCTTTTCATACTGAAACGGAAGGATTAATTTGATTGTTTGAATTAACTTTTCAGCAGGGTTTCGCATATAAATCGGAGCTCCGCTCGCACTTAGAATAAGTTATCAAAATGGATGTAATAAAACATTAAACAACTTTAAGCAAAATAATTGAAGAAAATCACTTTTTGATTGCAAAGTAAGCTCAATGTTGGTAAGCAACACTAAGTCAGTAAGGAATGAAGATAGTTTTCCTATGTTGGTATAGTTAAAGTTAAAGTGCACTTGTTAGTATGTAGCAGTTGTTCTCTGTATTTACAATTTCGATATTATATACAGAATATACATACTGACAATATAAGAAAGTCGAATAATATGTAACTTCAATTTAAAATGCATTTATATTATGTTTGTCTCTTTATATATCTACTTTCACATGAAAACATATTTAAGTACAACACATTTAAGCAAGAAATATATGATTGTCTTATGAAAACAATACTCGTATACAATTTCATTTAATTTGTAAAGGTTTTGTTATTATTTTTCTTAAATTCTAAAAAATCTTTAAAAATGTGTAATAAGCCATCTACTATTTAATAGAAGAACTTAAACGTCACGTCATATTATTATATCATTTTTTATATTAACAACCAAAATAATCTACGTGAAGGACGTCCAAAACTATTTTAGAAAATCATCGATTGACAGATACCTTATAGCAAAAGTTTTCGACATCTCACTGGGTGCCGTTTCATCACTATGGAAAAACGTAGGTCTAGCACCCTGATTCTTAATCAAAACAAGAGACTAATTCCATTTAAGAACTTGTTGGTTCACAGGAGCTGACGAAGAAATTGAGTGTGAAAGACTTTATCTCTATTGATTTGCAAAAAAAAATTAATATTGGACCTCTTGACTCAGTTCAAAACAACATTGATGAAGTTAATAAATTGAGATACGAAATGTTGTGAATATATTCTATCAGATTAAGCTATCTCTGATGTCTGGCTTTTCTCACACTTCAAAATATTATTTAGTAAAAAACGAATTCTGTCCGGCTAAGGACAGAAAGAAGCCTAACTGAACATGCTCCTATTAAGATGGGACATGCATGTTTCGAAGGAAAAAACGATTTTTCTTAAGCGGACACTTGAACAATTCTTTCTAGGTAAATAAACTATTTAATTAATAAAACATAGTTAAAAACTGGAATATGAAATTTGACGCCTAGTAATTTTGAAAGGTTAAGAGAAATGTTCCTTTACGGGATTGTTTGTTTAACAGAAACTCAACTGTATTACTTTATCGATTCTATGTGATTAAGAGGTTAAGTGGTTAAGTGGAATGTTCGACTATAAGAGTATTCGTTTAACAGAAATTTCTTAATTGATTCTATCGGATATTATATTTATTGCTGTAATCACCTTTTTTGTCCTTCATTCTACAGTTACTGATTTTATTGTGTCGTTTCCTCTACCTCTTTTCACTAAACTATACAATTTTTAGACATTAAAAAACAATTTAGAATATAAAATATATGACTCATTTTTCGTTTTTAGTTTTTTTCGCACTTCCAAGGCTTGCAGCCAAATTATTGTAGCCATTTTGTTTAGTGAGGTAATGTAAAAAAGTGTTTAAACGGATGTGTCGATGCCTGTTATCAAGCAGGAGCCAAAAAGACGAGCGCTAATACTACGAGCAGGTAGGAAGTCAATAAAAAATATGAAACAAAGATAGAAAAGCGGAATTCCACAAACGAAAAGTGATATAAAAAAATAGCAAAAATATAATATAAAAAATATATATCCGTACCGTACCACATTTTAACACTCGTAAGCGTGTACTTCCCGAGACTGACAGGTAGACAGACGGACAAATTAAGAACAGTATGCATACCAAAGCTGCATCCATAGAAACAAAAACAAAATCCAATTCATTATGCAGCATTGCTCGGAGAGGTTTGCTGCAAAGACGAAAAATGGAAAGTATTCAAGGACGAAATTTTACAAATGCAAGTAAAAGTTACAATTGCGAACGTCTTTAGGTTAGCAACGAACAACCTTAAGGCAGAGCAAGGAAATGCAAGGAAGCGCAAGGAAGATTCAAGATGTAAGAAGAAGCACCGAAGACTTTAGTCAACGTTTTCGCTAATAAAAAATCATACAGCATTGAGAAAATATCAAAGAAAACAAATGGATGAAGTGGAGAAATGGAAAAAAGGAGCAGGCCATATAATAAAAATTTAGTGCGGTAGTGTTTGTCACATAAAAAGAACAAATAAACAAGAAAAAAATGAGAAAAACTGCGCATTTTGAACTTTAAAGAAATTTTTACATATCCTTATCCTTATGCATGGATACATTCAAGTGACTGCGAATTTGTGTGACTGGAAACGGAAGTTTTGCATTTTTTATGACATTGAAACTAATGTGCTTTCTCTTTGTGAAGTTTGATAATGACTTTCACTTTATTTCCGTCTGTTGCCGTTCAGTCAATCTTCAAATTCATCTCTTTTTTTCTTTCATACAAATTGCGATATTGCTGATTAGTCAGATTCTATAGATGTTACTACTTTCTATAGAAAACCCAGTTTAAAAATTCCGTGTTGATTCCTCTTAAGTTTTCATTAAAATTTAAATACTTCATCAGAAGAAAACTCAAACAGAGTTATATAATCAATAATGATGTTAAGTAAGATGTATTTGAATAAGTAAGGGAAGTATCCCTTCAGTCACTACGTTTAAATCAATCATTCAATCAATTTAATAATATTTTTCTCTTCTTTATTTCAGATTTATTGCCACTTCCGTGCTGAATAGAATCGCGTTAAAGAAAGCAATTTAATTTCCATTATTTAACTTCCAATAAAAAAGAGGTAAGTTCAACTGAAAGAAAAAAATATGAACAGGAAATGTATGTAAATAATCCCCAATCCCCAATTGCATAAAATGCGAGCTCATATCTTCAAAGCCGTACCCGTTCTTTCCTCATTTATCGCTTCGTTCGTTACTCAGCTTGCCATTAAAATGTAATTAAATGGAAATTTGAGCGGTAAAATTCTAATTAACTCTATTTGGTCCTTTCACGCAGATAAAAGCTTCCATTGATGTGCACAATAAAAGTAAGACTATCACCAATGAAAACGTGCATCTCATTTAGCTCTCCTGTACCGATTGCATACCCAAAAAGGGTACGATTCCTTTTATGCATACACAGCTCATTGTTTCCTAGTGGAAGCTTAAAACGTAGATGAGGATGATTTTTTTGAGCTCAACGCATGCATACAGCCATGTGGGTTATTAGACATTTTATACATCCTCGCACAGTTGGGAGATTGAAAAGAAATTAACGCAAAAACCTCATTTATCTCGCCACGACGAGATTGATGATTGAAATCCATACGAGTGTGTTTGGAAATGCTGTCAAGCATGGTCGTAGAGCAGCATGTGTGTGCTGTCACTTAAAAAAGAAGAAATGATATCCAATTGGCCAATGTTCACATACATTGAATGCTTTGTAGAAATACGTCTGCAAGCATTTGCTCTGCTTTCAGTACAGACGTTTGTCGGAATCGAATACTAAAAAAAATCTTGCTTTTATCAGCTGAAAAATTTAATTATGCACGCAAAATTGTCATCAATTTTTTTGTGGTCAACGTGTTTTTCTGGAGTACAGAGGCGCATACAAGACTGACATGCAACTACATTAATTGTTGTTTTGTCTATACGTAAATGCTGATCTCTGACTTGAATAAAATGACTTGGCAGAAAAGCATGACTCCACGGTGATATTGACACTTGGAAGTTTATATTGGCATACGCGCTCATGCCTATGTATATACTTTAATCATATACGAGTATTAATTATCTTAATGCATTCAATCTATATTATGCTTGCGTTGTAATAATCTTTTTCAGCAAAGCAGCGTTTCTACAATAGATTGTATTTAATATTAATTTTCTCAACCATTCTCTCACTCTCAAATAACTTTTCATCAAACATTTGCTGGGTGTCATTCTAGTTAATTAACAGAACTCATATCATTACCCTTAATTAATGCATGGCATGATATGTGAACGATTTCATTATCATGGCTACCACAGTCAACATCAAACTGCCATTACATTGCCAGCAGTTCACATTTTCATATAAACTTGATTGCTATTAAGTGCTAAATGCAAAAAGATAGCAGGACTACAAAGCGAGCGGCACTCGCATTTCGCCTTTTGGGAAAATTTCGAATTAATTCGTACTGACAGTTGTCATCTTTCTAACAACAAATGAATTTGATAGTAATAGAAAACTGTTTTAAACTGAAATTTTTCCGATCCGAATAGAAGACAACATAAATAATTGAGTCATTTGCCTAATTGACATTAGGTAAGATTGGAATGACGATTCTAGCAATCCAGTAACATAATACCAATTTGTCCACTGTTTTAACATATAAAGTTTAAAGGATATAAAACCAATTGCAACCTTTAATAAAGCCACAGACACTCTCAACTTTACTTATTTAGTCGGTCATTTTAGATGCGCATTGTCCTCAAATGCGTCCGAGTACCTTTATATCGTTAGTCATCTGATCCTTCCTCCAAAGATGCAGATGTCTTTTACTACTTTCGCTACCAGTGAACACCGAATCAAACCATTGGAGCATTTTTTCCATCCGCATGAAATGACCAAGCCACTGAAGCCGCTAAATTTTTATGCGCTTAACTATGTCAGCTCACATCCAAAAGATAATTTGCGTGATTTGTTTAGAGATGGGTGTATATCTCAACTATTTATTTAGTCCGGAATAATATTTGTTGGCAAGCATTATCACACTTTCGTTAAATATTCTACTAAAACGGTTCAAGTCTACTGCTCGGAAATTATTAGACAAGGACTCTCCTTGTCTGAATCAAACGCCTCAGGGTAGTTTTTCTAAACTCTAAGCTTAAAAGTAATCTAATTATATCTAATCTATGTTATGCATGCGACATAAAAGATTAGAAGCATTCGCTTCGTATTTCTTGCAACTGCGACGATAAGGCTTAAAGAAATTATTCAACCTTCTAACAAGATTACCTAAGCAACAATGATCCATCAAAAATTTCAATCAATTCACTATGTCAGTTAGAGACTAAGGTTACTATAGAATTTCCTTAATTCTAATCTACTTATTGCAAGATGTTCTGTACTTATTACTTGCTTAGTTGGCTCAGAAATAATTGAGTCGCCCTTGGACGTATCCAAAAGCTTCCACCAGCTAGCCCGATCAGTGGCTTGCTGCCGCCAATTGGTAGTACCGAGTACCTGTACATTGTTGACCGATGATGCTCTGTAATTGTGAAAATTTAATATTTGAATTAGCTACAATAAACAAACTAAAATTCGTTCAAATATCTTGTCATGAGAGATTTGATGATAACGAAACCGCTGATTTGCTTACGAAAAACGGTGTTCTTAAGTTTATCATAGAGCCTAATCCTTTTCCCGATACATTGACTCAGACGGCTTCAGTAAAAAAAGCTTAATCCAACTTCGTAAGCTTAAGAGAACCTTACTAGCTCATTGAAGAAAATCGAAAGCAACAAATTTTGTGTAATGCAGAGTGAGAGTAATGCAACTCTTATTTACTTGTCTTTTGCAATTCTGAAGAAACAACTCCAGAATCTCCATTCGACTTTTATCAAAAAGAATAGTGTCGCGAATCTTGACCAGACAGATATTGTTATGTTTAAACAGTCACAATTAGCTGAGAAGACTATTGCCGGGAATAGCACAATAGGAATTGTAGCATACCATACTATTCATTCTAATAATCAACAAGAGAATTACAAAATTGCCAAGCACAATCAGGTGTGTCAACATTGTCAAATTAAATCCAATGATGTATTAATTAATAAAATGTATTGATTATTGATTATACAGTCTCCAAAATTTCTCTCGGGTCTTCAATAAGTATTTACACCTAAATGAAGAGGGTATACCAAGCATAACATTTTTGGAAATATTAAAGTCCTTAAGTAATTTATTTCAGGACATCCGCGGTCAACTTAACTAAACAGCAAGGATCCTAATAAACTTAGTAAATTATAAGCTTCATTTTTGTGGCCGGCATCGATTTAATCCAATATCAGTCCTCACTCTTTGTATAAATTTGTTGTTCTAACTCTTTACAAAACCCTCAAGTTAAGTTTTCTGATGTGTCCATTATTTCTTTAAACTTAAAATCACACTTCAATAATTTTATATTTCCTGCACATTCTTAAAAAATAAACAAATTAGTGATTTCATTTATTATTTATGCAGATTTCTCTGTTGGTGATGTTTGATGTTTCCCCATCTCCCCTTCCCAACCAATTTCATAGTCTTTGTGTGTTCCATTTCTGCTATAAAAGTAAGAAAATATGTTGTTACGTCAAGTGGCATTTTCTTTTTTACGACAATGCAAGTGTGTGCGTGTACGTGTGCGTGTGAGTGTGTAAGTGTATGTAAACGACGTAGAAGATGTTTAAAATGTATTCCCTGCCTCGGTACGTCAATAATCATAATAGACCTGGAAAGAAATTTTCAAGAAGAATTTGTCATTTTGTCACGTACGGCCAAGTTAAGGAATAAATAAATAATTGAGTAGATATTGTTGACATTTTTGGTGCTAGTGTTTGCCTGTGGGCTCCTGCTGGTAAAGTTCAATTAACCGCTTTTCATGGAAATAAAAAAATAAATAGGGAACAAACGAATCACAGCACACTTGAGGCGATTTTCGACCTGATGACATAAAGAGACTTTTCAGAAAATGGACAAATGTTTCTGTTATCAATCAAGAAGTAAATGGAAACATGTGTGAATGTTGGTGTGAAATTCATAATATATAAATTCAAAAATTAAATATAAAATTTTGTTTCGACTTTGCAAAGTGAACTAAATTTCAACAATTCAAACGATTTATAAGATAGTTCTATAAGGAAGTGATAAAAATGCTTACATTTCATTCTATTTCCTATATCTATGTATATTTATTTTTGTAGTCAAATATCAAGAACAATTCTATAAAGTAGTGCTATAGTGATACATATTTATTAAAATAATTGTAATTCACTTTGATACAACAGTAATATGTTCCTTTTTATATTAAACATGAAGCAGCGTTTGAATAAGTGCTGCTTGACAGCATAATTTTGCTTTAATATAGCAGATATTATCTTTTACATAATATTCTTAAATTAATTGGAAAATTGGTGTATTGGTAATTGGTATTGATATGCTAACAAAAAACACAGTAGTAGGTGTTCATATAAATACAAAACCAAAAGTCTATCACTTTCGCTCAAATGGATAGAATCCGCCTGTTTGAACGGAAACTTCTTCGTGATTGCACCAACTATAAGCGCAAGCCTCATGGCAAACACTTCTCTATCTCTACCCATTACAACAATGTCAAAATCACTCGCATTGACGAGTACTTTTAGTCATTCGCCCGAAGATACCTCACCCGGATACATGACCTTTCCCCTGATGTCTCCACTCCTACTACCCAATACCTGTCACACTTCTTCGATGAGTGGGACCATAGACACCCAACCCTCAACCGCGGCTTTCGTGACCCCTGTCACAATGTGTTTCATTGACCTCACCGCTGCTAATTAGCCGTATCCCCACCACCTCCAATGTTTCCCATTCTACTTAGTTCATGCCCTTGCTTTCGGACTTAGATAAACCTAGTTCACTAGGTATTAAATCAATTTACTCTCTTTTCTCTCCCATTATTACTGGAATGAAGTTTCCACATTACAGTTGAAATCTTCTCCAGTCATTTCTATAAAGTGGTTTTAGTGAGTTCAAATCTCATACTGTGGCTTTCGATGCTTTCCACCTACTGCAAAT